ATGTGGCACCTTGTTGAATAACTTTTGAGAATCCAAATGCACCACATCTGTTGGTTCCCTTCATCCAATCTGCTTTTTATGTCTACAAACAGCTGTAACAAATCCGTTAAATATTATATCCCTTTCATAAAGCCATATCATCTCTGTATGATCTATTATATCCTTTTCCCAGCATCAGGACTTTAGTTTCCTGCTTTCTGTCTTCCTCATTTCTTTACATATGTGGTTTTCCAATCTCCTGGGAACTTTTTCAGCATGTAAACATTTTGGAAGACTACAATCATTTCATGTATTATCTCTTTGGCATTTCCCAGCACAGAAAACAGAGAAATCAACAGGTTAATCATAGAATGAGTGTTTATTTTCAGAATTTGGCTGATACAGCAGCTTTCTTTTTCAACCTGGTACTGGGGAAGGGCGTGCAGAAGTAAGAGGACCATATATCTGCTTGCATAAGAATAACTTGTGTTTCTAAACTCACTTTAATGCAGTAAAAATGTCTCCAGGAGAAACATCATCAGAATTAATTTGACATAGATGTAAAAAAGAATGTGCAAAAGCTTGGTCAAATATGTGGATTTTAATCATAATTTAAGGAGGTAGAAAAATGAAGAGTTTAGGGAGGAAATTACAGGGCATTGGAAGTTGAAGGTTCAGTTATCAATAGTGAATTAATTGAATCATCAGACAATCGAACCACCACCCCTTGACATTCAATGATGTTACCATCACTGAATTCCCCCACTATCAATATCCTTGACGAGACACTCAACTGGACTCACCGCATAAACAGTGTCTGTAAGTGCAGGTCAGAGGCTAGGAATATTGCAGCAGTAACTCAGCTTCCTTCACAGTAACTTCCTTCACAGATGCTGCCAGACCTGCTGAGCTTTTCCAGCAACTTTGTTTTTGTTCCTGATTTACAGCATCTGCAGTTCTTTCGGTTTTTGTTTTGTTAGCAGTAACTCAGCAACTGACTTTCTTGACATCACCAACAAGGCGCAAGTCAGGAGTGTGATGGAATACTCCCTACTTTGCCTGGATGGGTGCAGCTCCAACATCACTTAAGAAGCTTGATACCATCCAGGACAAAGCTGCCCACTTGATTGGTACCACTCCACATGCGTCCACTCCCACCACTGATGCTCAGTCGCAGCATGATCTACAACTGCACTGCAGAAACTCACCAAAGATCTTCAGACAGCATGTTCCCAACCCATGACCACTTCCAGTTAGAGGAATAAGGGCAGCAGATACATGGGAATCACCACCTGCAAGTTCCCCTCCAAGTGACTCACCGTCCTGACTCGGAAATATATCATTGTTTCTTCAATGTCACTGGATCAAAATCCTGGAATTCCCTCCTATTGGCATTGTGGGTCAACCCACAGCAAGTGGACTGCGGCAGTTCCAGAAGGCAGCTGACCACCACCTTCTCAAGGGTAACTAGGGATGGGCAATAAATGCTGGCCAGCCAGCAATGCCCACATCCCACAAATGAAAATAATCTTTCCCTAGTTATGACTATTAGACATCGTAGCGCAAGAGTATACATGAGTCCTCAACATTAACTGTGAACACATGAAGTTTCGTGCATCAGGTCATAGATGGGCAAGGAAACCTCCTGCTGATTATTACATACCTCCCTCCCTAGTTTTTAACCAGAAGTGCTGAGTGGACCATCAGACCTGACAGTCTGCTGAAAATCCTAGCATCACTAGTACAAGTCTTCAGCCAATTTGATTCACTCAATGTGATATCAAAAAATGGCTGAAAGCACTGGATACTGCAAAGGTAAGGGCTCTGACAGCATTCTGGCAATAATACTGAGACTTGTGCTTCAGAACTAACAGCAGTCTTCGGCTGTTTTTGTACAGTTACAACACTGGCATCTACCTGACAATGTGGAACATTGCTCACGGACATCCTGTACACAAAATGTAGCACTGCAGCGTCTTTCTCCTTGCATTTTTCATCAATAACCTGCTCACTGACACTCAGCTTCAGTTCAGCCGGGTCCATTCAGCTCCTGACCTCCCTGCAGTCTTGCTTAAAAGCAAGCACAACAGAGGGATGGTAAGGGTGACTGCCCTTGATATCAAGTCAGCGTTGATCAGAACTGAACTGGACTTGCCAAATACATAATGTGGCTGTAAGAGCAGGCTAGAAATTCTGCATTGTGTAACTTCTCTCCTGGCTGGTCAAAATCTGTCGAATAGGTACAAGTCACGTATACCGGAATATTCCCCACTTGCCTGAATGTGTAGTGCCAAAAAATAGTCAAGAAGCTCAACACCGTCCAAGACACGGCAGTCTGTTTGATTGGCACTCCATCCTAACATCTTTAGCATTCACTCCCTTCTCCTCTGATGTACAGTGGCAGCAGTAGACGTCATTTACGAGTCGCAGTTTTTAAAGCTTCCCAAGGCTCCTTCAGACAGCACCATTTAAGTTCATAATCACTACCACCTAGAAGGACAAGGCAACAAATACATGGAAACACCACCATCTGCAAGTTCCAGTCTAACCCACCCAACATCCTGCCTTGGAAATATTGCTTCACTGTAATTGGGTCAAAATCCTGGAACTCACTAACTGCAGTGTAGGCGTATCTATGCTATAAGAACTGCAGCGATGTGGGAGGGAAAAAAAACAGCTCACCACACTACCTTAAGAGCAATTAGCAGTATGAAATACATGTTGGCTTAGTGAGTGATTTCACATCCTATGTATGAATAAAAAGAAAGTTGTGCATTGGTATGTGAGTCTTTCAATCTAGGACTAGAAACCAGGGTAGGTTTGTGATCGTAGGGATAATGGGTCAGTTTATGAGGAGATGGTGACGTAATGGTAATGTTACTGGATTAGTTATCTGGAATGCCAGGCCAGTGTTCTGGTGGCGTGGATTTCAATTCAACCATGACAGATGTTGAAATTTAAATTTCAATAAAAAAATTTGGAATGAAAACATGAGCTTAATGTCAGTTATTGTTAAAAACTCATCTGGTTCACTTATGTCCTTTAGGGAAGGAAATCTGCCATCCTTACCTAGTCCAGGTGAGATTCCAGACTCTCAGCAATGTAGTTGACTCCAATACTGCTGGACAATTAGGGTGGGCAATAAATGCTGACATTACAAGTGATGCCTACACCTTGTGAACAAATTTAAAAAAAAATTTGGTTAAAGGTATTTTGGAAGAGGGAAATGGCTGGGATGGGAGACTAGTTAAATAGCTTTTGCAAAGGTTCAGCCTGGGCTCAATGGTCTGAATGGACGCCTGGTTGTAATTTAAAGGTTGAATGCTTTAATTTCTGTAATGCTTTCGTCAATTGCTTTAAATCAGTGGACTTGGATTATTCTTCTTTTGCTATGCAGAAGATGTCCTTCCTGTTCAATCTGTCAAAATTCATTTCAAATTTGTCTCAATTAAATCTTCCCTCAGCTTGTTTTATTCTAAAGGAAATAATCCACAGCATATTCATGTTTCCTAATGGCTAAAATCCTCCATCTCAGCACTAGCCTTGTAAATCTGCCCTACATCACTCTTAAGTTGTGTGAACAAAACTGTGTAAAATACTCTAGCTGTAATCTAACTAATGTTTTACAGATTTATAGCATAACCTTACTGTTCTAATATTTTGTGCCTTAGCTAATAATTATCCTATACATCATTTTAACCATCTTACTCCCCTGACATATGACCTTCAGGGATCTGTGAACCTTCACTCCAAGATTCCCTATAGCTTGACACTTCTGAGTATCCTAGCATTTATTGTGTATTCCCTTACCTTGTTTGTCCCAAAATGTATTACCTCACTTCTCTAGATTGAATTCAATCTGTCACTATTCTGCAAACCTAACCAGTTCATGATATCTTTCTGCCATGTACACCTTTCTTCTTCCCCATCGACCAGGTGACCAATTTCTGTATCATCTGTAAACTTTGAAATCGTGTCCCCTAATTTAAGTCTAATCATTGAGATATACCATAAAAGCCAAGGAACCTAGTAATAAGCCAGAAACTGAAACCTCAACAGAAACAGTCTTCGGCTCAAAAACACCAGTAGAACATTTTCTGAAGAAGAGTCCAGACCTGAAACGTCAGCTTTCCTGCTCCTCTGATGCTGCCTGGCCTGCTGTGTTCATCCAGCTCTACACCTTGTTATCTCAGACACTCCAGCATCGGCAGTTCCTACTATCTCTCACCAGTAGAACATTATCCTTTTTCCTCTTGCCACTAAATCACTTTTGGATCCAACTTGCCACTTGCCCTTGGATCCCATGTACATTCTATTTGCTGGCCAGTCTGCCAAAATACATCTGTGTTCCATCAAGAGCACTCGTCAGCTTGTGCTTACTACAATTTGAGTGCATTGATCATGAACTGTAACACTAAGTGTGTTTATTTATAATGATACTTATCTGCATGTTTTTTCTGGCTTATAACAACTTGCATGTATTTATCACAATGTAAGTGTTTTTGTTCGATAAATAAATGCATTTACAGTATCAGTGTACAGTTATAATATTGAATGTGGTTATCACAGGGTATTTATGTACTTACGTTAGTGTGTTTATAGATAGTGAGTTGTACTATTTTTGAATAATTTTATAATGAAGCCACTGAAGAGGAAAGACTTTGCAATCATTGCATTAAAAATTAAGGGGGCAAAGTCAGTGATTATACACTGCTGCATTGCAAGAGACAAATCTGTCATTATTGATTTTATTAGGGGTATTTATAGTGGCAAATATGTACAGTCAATACTGACAAGTTATTTGATAGGAAGTCTTGACATTATTGATCCATCAAGGGATGTAAATGCAGAAAGGTATCCGTATAATCATTGTCAAGACAGAGCCTATAAATAATCACTAAATACTTTCATGAGAGATTTGTTACAGATAATATTTGGGTCCACATAGTCATCAACTTTGAGTGGTAGATGAAAAGATATGTTTCCAGTCACTGATTGCCACTTTTATTGACCTTTACTAGGAACATGACATTGAAACCCCCTATGGGATGTTGCATGTGGTGATACGTGGTGCACCAAAAGGAAACCGCCCGGCAATCCTGACCTATCATGATGTTGGGATGAACCGTAAGTATATTTGAACAGGTCGCTATAAAGAAAACACATGATTCAAACATAATGCATTAAAAATTTATTTGGAATCAGGTTCTCCATGTGATTTCTATACCCTAAGATTAAAAGGTAAGTACTTTCCCTACTGAATTACACACATTGCAGACAATTGAAATTTAAAAGGGTTTAATTTATGGACTTAGTTGTAATGGATTTGATGGGAAGGGGATTTGGCTGTTGCAATTCTATATAATTAAGTGAATGAGAAGTTGTCTGGTCTAGTGGAATTGTACTAATAGATTTGAATTGGAAACAATTTGGATTATTGGAATTCTCTATAATGGGATTGAATAGGAAGGGTTTTCATGTATTGGAATTCTGTACAATGGACTAAATGGGAGCAGGAATTGGGCTGTTGGAATTCTATAAATTGTAATTAAATGGGAAGGGATATTGGAATTCTTAGCATGAATGGGAAAAACTTTGCTCTTTTGTAATTCTAAACAATAGGAATCAATGGCATGAGGTTTGCCTGATAACTGTTTTTTATACTTACATAAAATATTTTTTGTTTGGAGAGAGTTTTCCACTACAGTAGTAAGGAGAAGCACAGTTTAATGATACAACAAAACGTCCAGACAGAAAGATGAAAATGTTCAATTTCTGGTACATGCTGAGTTATCTGATGTCAACTGGGCTAGCTGTATTATGCTATGATTAGCCTGTAGCATCCTGGATAAAAAAGGGGGACACCACCTTGGATCAGTGTTTAATATAATTTTCTTAGCAGCTTTGAGAACCATATCAAATACAATTTAAATGTGGCCCCTGCCTTTGTTCACACAGTCTAGTACCCTACCAATATTCAGTGGCTTGGTTCGCAGGAATGTATGAATTGCTACATAACAAAAGACCAAGCTCTATCAAATTTGATTCACACCACCATAATAAAATTGTTCACTAAATACAGCAATTTCTACCAATTAGTCTCTCAGAATCCAGGAATGAGGGGAGAAACCCCACCCCCACATATTTGAGTTTTATGAATCCATAGGTTCAGTGTTATCTGTTCCTTTCAAGTGACTTACCACATGTTTCATATTATTAATGCATTGTAATCCAAAATGTTATTTTCACAAAGAAATCCACTTAATATGTGTTGAATGCCTGAATGATCTTCTGGAGTAGTCTGTTCCGTAGGTTCGTTAAGATGCTATTTTTGCAGATTAACTGTACTCCTACAACCCACTTCATTACAACCCCCTCAAATAGAGCGCTGTTTTATTGATTCTTCTGCTTTCAAGTTTAAGTAGTTTATCATGGTTTGCTTTATCTAGTCACGGGTCATACAGCTGTACCGCATGGAAACAGACCCTTCAGCACAACTTGTCCATGCCGATCAGATATCCTAACTAAATGTAGTCCCATTTGCCAGCATTTGGCCCATATCCCTCTAAACCCCTCCTATTCATACACCCATCCAGAAACCTCTTAACTGTTGTAATTGCATCAGCCTCCTCCACTTCCTCTGACAGTTCATTCCATACACGCACCACCCACTGTGTGTGAAAGTAGCCCTTTAGTACCTCTTTAAATCTTTTCCCTTTCACCTTCAATCTATTCCCTCTAGTTTTGGATTCTTCCACCCTGAGGAAATGTCCTTGTCTGTTCACCCTATTCGTGCCACTCATGAGTTTATAAACCGCTATAAGATCACCCCTCAGCCTCCAATGCTTCAGGGAAAATAGCCTATTCAGTCTCTCCCTGTAGCTCAAATCCTCCAACCCTGGCAACTTTCTTGTAAATCTTTTCTGAACACCTTCAAGTTTCACAACATCCTTCCTATAGCAGGGAGACCAGAATTGCACAGCATTCCAAAAGTGGCCTAACCAGTATTCTGTACAGCCGCAATATGGCATCCCAACTCCTATACTCAATGCACTGACCAATAAAGGCAAGCGTACCAAATGCACCTTTCACTATCCTGTCAACTTGCGAATCTCCTTTCAAGGAACTATTAACCTGCACTCCAAAGTCTCTCTGTTCAGCAACACTCCCCAGGATCATACCATTAAGTGTATAAATCCTGCCCTGTTTTGCCTTACCAAAATACAGCACCTCACACTTATGTATGTTAAACGCCACCTGCCACTCCTTGGCCCATCTGATCAAGGTCCCATTGTACTCTGAGGTTACCCTCTTCGCTGTCCACTGCACTGCCAATTTTGGTGGCATCTACAGACTTGCTAACCATACCTCCTATGTTCACATCCAAATCATTTATGTAAATGACAAAAAGCAGTGGACCCAGCACTGATCCTTATGACACACCACTGGTCACAGATCTCCTGTCTGAAAAGCAATCCTCCACCACCACCCACTGTCTTCAGCCTTCGAGCCGGTTCTCTATTCCATGTGATCTAACCTCGCCAACCAGTCTACCATGAGCAGCTTTGTCGAACGCCTTACTGTAAGTCCACATAGATCATGTCCACCGCTTGGCCCTCATTAGTCCTCTTTGTGCTTTTTGAAGAAGTAACAATCAGGTTAGTGAGACATGATTTCCCAAGCACAAAGACATGTTAACTATCCCTAATCAGTGCTTGCCTTTCCAAATACATGTGAAAGCTGTCCCTCACCCTTAAACTTAAAAATAGAAATCTTACTACCTTGCAACCTTCACTTTTCCAGTGAGAAACTGTCTAATTGACATTTTTGTTTCTCATAACCCAATCCCTCTTCCTATTCCATGGAGAATGCGAGCTTTGAACAAAGTATTGGCAAGAAGCTTCAAAGAGGCATGTTTCAAAAACAGCTGTCCATCCCTTCTCATGTGGACTGCAGCTTCCTGTATCACTTTATTCATGGCTTCACTTTGCGTGTACACCTCTATTAAATATCAACCCTTATCTGCTTCCACCACCACCCCAGGCAATATGATTAGGTCATTTAAGGCACTTTAGGTAAGCGTATGAATATTCAAGGAAATGGGGGATATGGACCAAGAGCAGGCAGAAGGGATTAGTTTCATTTGGTGTCATGTTTGGCGCAGCATTATGGACCGTTATATGAACGGAATTGAACCATGAGTGCCAATTTTTTGATTGTTATTGAACAGTAAGCCTCATGACGAACTTGAGTCTTGTTCTGACCGTTTTATAAAATTGATCCAAAATTAAATTTATGTTGACTGGACTGGACACATTTTATTAAATGGAAATCCTGGGTTGTATTTTCACCTCCCAATTGAGGTGCGAGTAAGGTCACAAAATACTGATGTTAGCTTTCTTTTGCTGGAGAAACAATCTTCCTGTGCCTTCCTGGTCCGAAAAAGGTGTTTTGGTTTAGTGGGTCAGTAAAGCTTGAGTACAAAATACACATGCACCTCTTCAGAGGTTGGTTTCCCAAATATCAGGACACACAGGAAAAATGATTGCTTTTTGCACATTATTTTTGAGTGTTGCTGTGGATTTTGTAAGCTGTTTTAAAAATAGAATTCACGTCCTGAGAATTCGTGACCACTGGGATGGCTTTTTGAGGAGCCAGGGATACACTGAAAGGTGTGTGTAAACTCTTATTTCCATTTTCAAATGTCATTATTAGATGCTGTAATGTGGATATGTTTTTAATGCAGTGATTCATTATAGGGATCTGTTTAAAGAAAAGTTAATCATTGAATTAACATGCATTGTCTAAGTGTTGCCATGTTTTGCAGTATCTTTCCAGTTGTCAAAAGCACAGCAATGCATTAAAAATGGTGAAAAAAGCCCCAATTCTCTCTGCTGTCATGTTTTCTGCTTTTATTTAAATTGACAACATGTGCTAGTTATTTTGAAAGTTGAAAAAAATCTCTGCCTGCACACCTATCCTCCCAATTTGATTGACAGGTTTTCGGGTTTGAAATGGGATACCATTCTACTCCGTCAGTATCAGGAACGGCAGCCGGAGATTTTTTTGCTTTGACAGCTGTAGCAATTATGAATAGCATAATAAGATCCTTGCAGTGTGGAAGCCGGCCATTCAGCCCATTGAGTCCATGCTGCCTCTCCAAACAGCATCCCACCCAAACCCGCCCCCTACTCTCTCCATGTAAACCTGCATTTCCCATGGCTACTCCATGGGAGTCCACATATCCCTGGATACTATGAGCAATTTACATGGCTAAACCACCTAACCTGCCCATCTTTTGGACCATGGGAGGAAACTGGAGCGCCCGGAGGAATCCCGTGCAGACACGGGAGAATGTGCAAACTCCACAGTGACAATCACCCAAGGGTGGAAGCGAACCCAGGTCCCTGGCGCTGTGAGGCAGCAGTGCTAACCACTGAGTCACTGCACTGCTAACATACTTGTCTGTATTTTAGAAGCTTATAATAGCTTTAGCTGAGAAGTGTTCTATAATCCTTTGATTTTGTTTTGTTTCTTACAAACCTAGCAGGCACTTGAAGAATTAAAAATTATTTTGCACTGGAGTAGTTTCTTTTCTGGAATCAGTGAGAATGTGTTGGAATAGAGTTTTGATAGATTATTAGAGATAAACTTTTTCCAGCAATTTAAAAATAATTCCCATTGATGTTCTATAGCTCTGGTGGGTGCTAAATAGTGCATACTAAAAGTGGAAATGGAGGCTGCATAGGGAAATGGAGGTGAAATGAGTGGTAATGGGGATCTGAGGCACAGTGAACTAGTATGATCAATCTAAAGGCACATGGGAGCGCTGACATGGATTGGTGAAGCTGTGAAGTTTAGGGAACCTTGAAATTATATTGGGAATTTGAGCTGCTGTAGTGGAGAACCAAGGCGAGCTTTCTAACCTTTCTGTATTTGCATGCAGGCTCATTCATTTAATTACAGCTTGCAAAATACTCTTGTGTATCCTAATTTTGTATGAAAAGACAAAAAGCCCAAACTTGATGTGAACTTGGAGAGGTCATTTTTTGTGAAACTACACACAAATCTGGTCTGCTGTTTCTGAAAAGAGCTCCTTTTTCCTTTTTCCTTTTTCCTTAAATGCA